CTTTGAGAAATAACAGGTAATATGAAAAGCAGTGATACGAGCTTCCCTGGTGGCACAGTGGTTAAGAATCTGCCTGCCAGTGCAGGGGACACGGGTTCGAGCCCTGGTCCGGGAAGATCCCACGTGCCACAGAGCAACTAAGCCCATGCGCCACAACTACTGAGCCTGCACTCTAGAGCCCACAAGCCACAACTACTGAGCCCGACTGCTGCAACTACTGAAGCCCACGCGCCTAGAGCCCGAGCTCCGCAACAAGAGAAGCCACCGCAATGAGAAGCCCGCGCACCGCAACGAAGAGCAGCCCCTGCTCGCCGCAACTAGAGAAAGCCCGCGCGTAGCAACGAAGACCCAATGCAGCCAAAAATGAATAAATTAATTAATTAAAAGCAGTGATAAGTATTAGGACAAAAAAACAAAGCATGATAAAAGGACAGAAAGGGTCTTCCCTGGTGGTCCAAAGGCTAGGACTCCGCACTCCCAATGCAGGGGCCCAGGTTCATTCCCTGGTTAGGGAACTAGATCCCACATGCTGCAACTAAGGATCCTGCATGCCGCAACTAAGACCAGGCACAGCCAAATAAATAAATAAATATATTTTTTAAAATGGACAGAAAATGAGAGGCGTGCTATTTTAGGGTAGTCAAAGCAGCTGTTTCTAAGAAGCAGAACTTTGAGCAGAAGGAAGCTTGAAGGAGGTCAGGACAAGAGCCATGCAGATGTCTGAGGAGAGATATGCAAGGCAGCAGAAGGAAGGTCAAAGGCCTTGAAGACAGCAGTGGGTTGGCATGTTCCAAATTAGCAAGGACACCAGTGTTATTGAAGCAGAATGAGTAACATGGACAAGGTCAGCAGATGACATCAGATACCCCTGCACTGAAGCAGCAAAGTCCCACTACACAGACATAAACACACTCCTGGAAAAGGCGGTGAAGGCAATCCAGTTTGAATATCGTATCTTTATCAATATATAACTTATGAAAAAACTAAAGTTTCTTAAATTATAGAATTAAAAAATCTGCCCATCAGGGCCAGGCTGAGAATTAAGCCATCCCAATCCTCCTTACTGAGTTCACAGGTTGATAAAGAAGAAGACACAAAAATGGATCTCAGAGGAAGAGGCTGGAGGCCACAGAAAGGCCCACTCTAAGCAGACCTCTCAGGACTTGTCCAGAGTGAGGGCACAGAGGCAAGGAGTAGGGCCTGTTCTTGACAATGGCATCATTGTAAACAGCTAAGAGTGATAGCTTTGACAAAAACAATAGCAACGAACAGAGACAAAAAAACAAGGAAAGACATCCAGTTCAAGTTCTCAAAATAAACTCTATTTCACAATAAAAAAGCATCATAAGCAGTCCTCAAAATGTAAGTATTAGGCCCATACAAGGTAGCTGCTTATGCTGCTAGAGCCCCACCTAAACTCCATCACTGGGAAGAATCACGGGGTCTCATTCAACCCTCACGGTAACACTGAAAGAAGCAAACCAGTGTCACAAATTCTAAGTGTGTGCTTTCAACTCTGGCCTGCCGACCATGTTCCATTACACTCTCCATTAGTGTCTTGAGGGACATACCTTTATCGTACCTTATTCCTCTCTCATTCAACTCCTTGAGATCAAGAAGGTATAACAATTAAAGACAAGGTTTTACTTTTGGAAGACATTTCAGTTCTACTGGATCAACCCAATATACACTAAAAAATGTCAAGTCACGAGACATTGCCTGACTTAATCTTTCTTTTAAATACATATATAAACGCTGAGAGGTGTGGTGTTAAGGAAGGATTCCTGGAAGGTGTGTAATTTGAATCTGTCTTTGAAGACTAACACCTCAGAGAATTAATATTTTATCAAGAAATCCAAACTGAGCAGCAGTATCCACTTACTACTTAAAAGTCCATTTTCTTTACAAATGAATTCCTACAAATTCTGGGAGTTTAAGCTTCCACAGTTGATCCTGTTCTCTTAATGATGAAGTAAACGTATAGATTTCTAAATGTCTATCTACCTCTGCTCTTGGTAATCATTTGCTTTCAATATTAATAGAGTGATCTCATAGTCTCAAACAAAACGTTTACGCTAGTTTTGCATTACCCACGATGGCGATTAAAATTCGTCTCCTCCTGCTGTTCACCCGCTAATGCAGCACTGGCATGCCAACGTTAAACTTCGACGTTTATAGCGAGACTGATGATAGTCAGGTGTGTCTAGACCATCCCCAGTTTTCATAGGTTAACATTCCTCCTTAAATTATAAGCTGATCGGTAACACTGCATGCACTATGGTTATAGTAGATGAAACATTTAAAGAGTAGGTTGGTTTCACATGGAAACTGTTACCAAGACAAACCTTCTTGTAGGATGGAGCTCCAAGAACATTAAATCATAAGAAATTGTTTCAGCAGCTGGTTAAAGCTGAGTGTACATAATACAAGACATCTGGTTGTCTGTGCATTTTCAGTTCATTTAAAAAGTATAAACACATAAAACACTAAAATGTTTGATTTATTACAACACTGCTTCCTCTCCAAGAGTGTTTAAGTGGCTGGTCTATTTATTGTATTCACAGCTTATTTACTATCTAAAGGGATTTATCATTTCCATCCCCCTTAACTTTACCATGACATTTTATCAACAACAGCAACAACAAAAGGCACTCACATTCAGGATATATACAAAATTGCTGGTGTTTGGTAACAACAAATGTAATAGAGGTAGTGCTACTTTTAAAATTAAATCAGGAACACATGAAGCACCACAACACATACTGTGATAAGCAAATAGTAGGCAATATATGTGATCCCCTTCCCACATCTGACCATAAGTAACAGAAAGCTAATAGCCACAGTGGCTTAACCAAAATAACTGTTTGCTCTTTTCACATAAGGAGAAATCCAAAGATAAGCCATCTAGGGTTGGTGTAATGGCTCTATAACTTTATCAGTATCCCACACTGCTGGGACGCTGTTCTTCGTGTGTGGCGCCCAGCTTCATAGTTTCAGCATGGCCCAAACACTGCCTCCACATCCAGGAGGGAAGAGAAGGGCCAAGGGCGACGGGCTGAAGGTGTACATGCTCTGCAAGCTCATGACTTCTGCTTACGTGTAACTGGCTCAAACTGTGTCACAGCCATATTTAGTTCCCCAAGTGCTGGAAAACTAAGCTGGGCACACCCTGCCCCCAACAGTACTGGAGAGGAAGGGGAGAAAGGATAGCAGGCATGCAAAGAGCTGTGTCTGTCACAAGAGTTCAACTTGCCTGGGACATTTTTCCCGTGCCCTTCCCTGTCAGTGATTCCTCAGTTGTCTCAGCCCTACCTTCCAGGCTGCACGTCACCAGACGAAGTCACAACAGGCTTTAGTGGCTCTCATTTCTAAATCTATATTACAATTTTGGATGCTACACTTGTGCACAACAGAGGCCAGGAGCCTGTTTTCTCACAAATACCTGTCTTTCGTTATGGGGCCACCGAAAAGTGGCACATTTCCAACGATATCCCCACATAGACTGAGATTCTGTAATGATAAATCTTAAAAATCTACTTTTTTACTTCAAAAAATAATTCCTTTAAAATATGCATTCTTGGGAATTCCCTGGTGGTCCAGTGGTTAGGACTCCAAGCTTCCACTGCAAGGGGCATGGGTTTGATCCCTGGTCAGGGAACTCAGATCCCACATGCTGTGCAGTGTGGCCAAAAATTAAAAAATAAATAAAATAAAATATGCATTCTCGATGGGGGGGGTCGAGATCACCCTCAAGAGGGTGAAAATTGGTTCTTAAGAGGTGAAAAACTTCATAGATATTATAATGATGTGTGGCCCTCAAAAAGGCCATAGCACATACACAGATATTCAGTGTATCTGGGGTATTCAAATTTCATTAGGACTTCAGAGAGGCAATTAAGAAAAAAAGGTTGAGAGTAATTGCTTTAAAAATAACAGACATTTTGGGCTTCCCTGGTGGCGCAATGGTTGAGAGTCCACCTGCCGATGCAGAGGACACGGGTTCGTGCCCCAGTCGGGGAAGATCCCACATGCCGCGGAGCGGCTGGGCCCGTGAGCCATGGCCGCTGAGCCTGTGCGTCCGGAGCCTGTGCTCGGCAGCGGGAGAGGCCACAACAGTGAGAGGTCTGCCCAAAAAAAAAAAAAAAAAAAAAAAAAAAACAAACAAACAAAAAAAAAAAATAACAGACATTTTGAATCACATAGAGACTGCATTCAGCTGTAGTGACAGAAATCTAGTTGTAACAGTGGAAACAAATAAGGGTCTAGTTTTCTCACATGAGAATTCCAAGGGCGGGGTATGGGGTAGGGGGAGGAGGTGTGGTAGTTGATGACTTTGGTTCAGCAGCTCAATGACATCAAAGCAGAATTTTCTCTGAGCCTCTTAGCTCTTGGTGCCAAGATGTTCAACACAACTCTAAAGAGACCCTGTCCACATTCCAGAAAGCAGGAAAGTGGGCTCTCACAAACAAAAATATACGTACGCCTCCTAGATGAGTCAGGTCCCCTTAAAGAGCTGTACCCATAAGTTTCATTTGAGGACTTCCCCCCCACATCTCACTGACCACACATAGCTTCAAGAAAGGCTAGAAATGGAAATGTGACCTCTCCAAAAAAGGCCAGATATAGCAATAAAATCAGGAAGCAAGGAAGAAGGGGAGAACAAATAATGGGTGGAAAACTAGCTGCATCTACCACATATATACTAGATTTAACTGTTTCCCTCTCAAACCCTTGTTTACAGAGATTAATTCTGTGCCTGTCATATGCTCAGTATTGCTAAAGAGCTTATTTTCCCCTCAACAACATAAAATTCTTGTGTTGATGACAGGTCGTCAGAGTCTAAATATTAGGCAAGAGAGACAGAAGAAGCCCATGGATAAAAAGCATAAAAAGCATACATGAAAGTACTACACCACAACCCACAAACTCTTCAGCATGATCAATTACCATCTTTAATATACAAAGAAGATAAAACTAATCCTAGCTTAGCCAGAACTTACAAGAGTGGAATATCAGTGATTAACTGCATCAAACAGCACAGCAATTCTTCCAAAAGATCTTCTGAGTCAGAACCTGGTAAGACACATAAAACGTTTTTTAACAAAGTGTAAACCAGAATTCGGTTGTTCAGCTCACTATTTGTTTTTTTTTTTTTGGCCACGCCATGCGGCATGCAGTTCCCCAACCCAGGATCGAACCCGGGTCCCCTGCAGTGGAAACAGAGTCTTAACCAGTGGACCACCAGGGAAGTCCCAAGAATTCAGTTATTTAGAAGTTTAGTTTTCATTCCTAATGAAAATAAGAATAATTACTATTACAGAAACTCAAACACTAATGTTGACCTCTGAATAGAATCTATGTCATGAAGCAAGTCAGCATCTGTTATAATCTTCATCTAGTAGATGAATTGGGTTTTTTGGGTTTTTTTGTGTGTTTGCGGTACGCGGGCCTCTCACTGCTGTGCCCCTCCCGCCGCGGAGCACAGGCTCCGGACACGCAGGCTCAGCGGCCATGGCTCACGGGCCCAGCTGCTCCACGGCATGTGGGATCTTCCCGGACCAGGGCATGAACCCGTGTCCCCTGCATCGGCAGGCGGACTCTCAACCATTGTGCCACCAGGGAAACCCTAGTAGAGGAATTTTGATCACCAGCTATTTATTCTATCTCTTTTAATGCTTGAAGGTTAACTATGCCTTCTATAGGCCAGTAGTTTTCAAGTTTCTTATACCGCACTATGTTTTTTCAAATAAAATCTGATACTAAAGTCAAACCGATAAAATAGATAAAAATTCAAGCTGTTCCAGCTGCTCTGTTTGAATCAGGAATAGACTATCTGCACCTTCTCCCCCAACGAATATCTGACCTAACCCTTGATCTCCTTGATGAGCCTCAAAGTGCCTTCTCCGAATCCATGGAGCCCCACCAATCACAGACTGAAACCCGCTAAGAGGCCAACCACCTCTTTACAAAGAGCCAAAGACAAAATGGCTTTCCCAAGTCACAGAATAAGTAAGCAGCAAAGGTAAGTTACAAATTACGGTTCCAATAGAAATGCTCCTCTGTCCCAAACTTCTCTAAGCCAAGTGACCTTCTAACTTCCAAAGCCAATCAGGATCTCACGCGGCTCCTGGCTTTGGACATTACTGACACCTACTCCTTCATGAAGTTCTTTCTTCTCTCAGTCCCTATGCCTTCTTTCTAACCTACTACTTTTCCTATTCATTCCCAGTATCTGCTACCTCAGAATGCCTTTCAACATTAACATGTTCCCCCAGAATTCCACCACCGGGTTTCTTCTCTTCATGTCTCACTCCCTGTGTTCTCCCTTCATCAACCATCCCTTACACGCTGGTGATTCCTAAGTCTACGGTTTTCCTCTCAGCCTCTCCACTGCATGTCATATTTTTTATATCTACTTACCTCCTGGCCACCTCTTCACTGGTACCTCAACCTCAACACACTCAAAACTGAACTCCTCTTTCCCAACACTTCAAATCCAGTTCTTTATTCTTTATTGTCCTTTTTGGTGACTACATCAGTAACCCAAGCCGCAAACCCAGATGATTCTCTCCTACTCATCTTTTTATAACCAATCCATCTTTAGGTCCTCTCAATTACACAGTCCACCCCTCTGATATTTCCTCTTTCCTTAACTCCTTGTCATTCTTTCGTTCATTATGTCATCATTTCAATTCAGTTAAACAAATTTACTAAATTAAAACTCATTCTGGAACTTCTTTAAACCTTCTTAACTAGTATTCCTACCTCTAATTTTACTCCTCTCCCATCCAAACCCCAGTTCACTATCAGAGGGAGCTAACTAAATTCCATCCTTTCATTCTCCTGGCTTAGATCTTGTCAATTGCTTTAAGCTGATTACTACACATCAGAAAAAACTCAAAAGCCCCAAAGTACAGTATGTCAGACCCTGCAAGATACAGGCCCTGAATCCCTTTCTATCTTTATCTCCCACCATTACTCCCTTCGTGATTTATATTCCTGCAATGCCAAGTTGCCTAATACATGCCGTATCATGCCTCCCACAATTACATTCTCTCTTCCTGGAATGCCCAAAAAACCTGATTTTGTTTTTTTTTTTTAAAGCCCAACTTTATCTACCTGAACCATCCTCAGTCTTCATCTCCTCCATAAAATCCAACTCTCTTGCCTCACCCTGAATAAAAATAATCACCTACACAGCATCTATGCCTGTGCATCTGTCTGTTGTTATAAATGTTGGCTGCACTATCTTAGTTTCTGACATGTAAAGCTGTGGCCCCTATTAGACTTTGTCCTTCTTCAGGGTGATGACTGACAGAGAACTTGGCACATGACACACACTCAATACATGGTCACTGAAGTGAACACAGGTGTCTAAGTCCAAATCTAGTGGTTACTTCCAAAATATCAAAGCACTTGGAATCTCAAAACGAAGTTTAGCAATTCTGTTTTTCTAGACCACAGTATCACCTGGTATCATTAGAAAGTATGAAGAAATTGCTTCCTGCCTCGCCAAAAACAGAACTGGCACAGTAGCCCTCTGAGAGGTCAGTGAAAAGCTCGAAGAGATTACTCTTTCACGCTGAAGACACAAATCAATGCTAAAAAGGATACACAACAAGAATCAAGTTCAATAACCACATTAAATCTCATTCTAGAAGTGGTAGGCTTATAGCTCAACTAGTGAAGAAAGTCAGAAGAAGATATAACTAAATCTCTCTCTGCCAAAGCTGTCCAACAGGATCACCTTACAATGCAGGGGACATGGGTTCGATCCCTGGTCAGGGAATTAAGATCCCACATGCCATGGGGCAACTAAAGCCCGTGTGCCACAACTACTGAGCTCTCGCACCTCAGCTAGAGCCCACGTGCTGCAAACTACAGAGCCCTCACACTCTGGAACCTGTGCGCCACAACTAGAGAAGAGAAAACCCACACACCACCACTAGAGAGACGCCCGCACACCACAACAAAGAGCCCACGCACCGCAACAATAAAAGATCCCACGTGCCACAACTAAGACCCAACGCAGCCTAAAATAAATAAATAAATAAATAATAAATCTTAAAAAAAAAAAAAAGCTGTCCAACGTAACCCAAACGAGTTAACAACCGATTCCAACAAGTTGGTTTGTTGGCATATAATACATAATACTTATTTGCTGAACTGTCATTCCTTGGCTTACCCCAGAGAATGTGGTGACCCAGACCCAGCAAGAACATTTAAAGTCACTCACTGATTCCCTAAAGAACATTTTAGACCAAATAAATTAGCCAGTTTAATAATATACCCCTGGTTCAGCCAAGCAGCCAGCACAAGGTTTTTTTTTTAATACTTATTTATTTGGCAGCGTCAGGTCTTAGCTGCGGCATGTGGGATCTTTCGTTGCGACGTGCAGGCTTTTCTCTAGTTGTGGCACATGGGCTTCTCTCTAGTTGTGGCACGCGGGCTCCAGAGCACAAGGGCTCTGTAGCTGTGGCACATGGGCTCTCTAGTTGTGGCGCGCAGGCTCAGTAGTTGAGGCGCGCGGGCTCTACATACTCAGTAGATCCCGCAGTATGTGGGATTTTAGTTCCTGACCCAAGGATCGAACCAGCGTGCCCTGCATTGCAAGATGGATTCTTAACCACTGGACCACCAGGGAAGTCCCCAGCACAAGTTTTTTAATTACAGAAGGTGAGGGAACAAGTACTCAGGACACACAGATGGTGCTTGATTGGATTTTTTTCCTTCTGGGGAGTAATTTAATTTTCAAATCTTAAAATGCCAACAAGGATCCTCTCTTTGGTTCCATGTGCCATCCACATCATGACCTCAGCCAAGTTTACAGCTGGTTAATTAAGGAGTACATACACAGCTTTGTTATCAATGTAATACAATACTAATGAAAATAATGATAAAGCCATTTCATACAAGTAAAGAGTAGCATTTCAAGGCCAAAGTTCTAACAAAACTAAAGGCAAGAATAAGCAAATTCCAGGTGAAATTTCTGACAACTTCCATTTACTAAAGCAAAAACATTCTTGCATAATACTATATTCTTATTTCTGGGGCTAATCTAGAAGCAAATAATTTCACAGCAAGTGAAGAGTGACTGCTTAGCAGGTTTTACAATAAGCAAGTCACTCATATTGCATTAGTTTCCAAGCAGCATTTTTATCACTTAGCTTTCATGTGAGGCCAAGTATCTTCCTTAGTTTCAATAAAAACAAGTAAATATAAAACTCACCTGCCAAAAATTATTCATGCATTTCTCACAGGAAAGAGAATCTGAAAAGTCCTTGAAATTTGCAGGTTCATGACAAAGTAAATTGATGTTCTTTGAGTAAAGAAATTTGCAGAGATTCAGCGTGTTTACTGTGTTGTGAACTTTTATAACCTAGAGCTGTTATTTTAATCTCTTAAAGGGTTTTAAACTGCCTCTATATCTCCAGTTAAATATTTTAATATTTTAAATCATGAGCATTCCATTCTCTCTAGCTCACACTAATCTTAACAATAACCCTTAAGGAGCAGGTATGATCATCATCATTTTACAGATGAGGAAATCAAGGCTCAGAGAGGTTAGTTTACTTAGAGTAAGTGGCAGAATTCAGAGTTAACCCAAATTCAGACTTCCAAAGGAGAAAAAAAAAAAAAAATCTTACAAATTATTTCTATAAAGACCTGTTTCTACAAGCTGGGAAAAAATCCAGTCAACCAATCCATGTTTCACTGAAGACCCTAAATACAAATCCCTGGTAAGTGAGTACTCTGAGCCGTGTTAGGGGACAGATTGGAAATACCACATATTACTTTACACGTCAAGGTGACAGCCTACACAGTCGCCTACACATTCATCAACACATACTCAAGTTCTTGACTTAGATATCCAATTTACAAATAATCTCAAACAAATAATAAATACAAACTCTTATTACGAATAGTTTGCCGATCAACGTCACTGAAATCCCACCCCTATCCCTGAGGTTCTCCCATTTTAAAGCCCAAATGCTACTTCCCAGGTCCCTATGAGCGTCAGCAGAGGAAGGTGCAAAGAAAGAGAAAGAAAGACAAGATTTATGTTCCCTCAC